AGATTTTTTATATTTAAAATGAGATGTTTATCCTGTATTTGATTGTGTTTATCTGCAGTTAGTTACACGAATTCAGATATGGAGCTTTAATAAGTTGTATCTACGCACAATTTACTTGTAATATTGAGTTTTAAGTAATATGTATTAATAAACAGTACTTTACGCATAAAAATTGGTTTTTAAGAGTTTTTGTCAAATGATTTATAATATAGAATATTATATATATATATAATTTAATTTAAATTTAATAATAAAACAATTTATTTTTAGGTTAATATTATAAATTTTATAAATATAATAATTAACTATTCTGTTAAAATTTAATGATTATACTAATTATATTTTAGATTTTTTATATTTAAAATGAGATGTTTATCCTGTATTTGATTGTGTTTATCTGCAGTTAGTTAAACGAATTCAGATATGGGATGAAATCGGATAGGGATTAAATCGTTTAGGGATGAACGGGTTTAAGAGTTTTTAAGAATTTTAAGAGTTTTAGCCAAATGCTTTATAATATAATATATTAAACCCTTAAATTTTGAAGTTACATATAATTACCGGACATATGCAGTTCTTTTTAAAAGAATCGATAAACATGTTCAAATATGATTTTTGTTCTTGTAGTTTTGGAACTGTAGTTTTTGAATTCTACGGTTTGGAATTTATTGTTATTTTCGTTTCCGGAGCGATTTTTTTACATTTAAGTATGAGGGATGAAAACAGAAATGAATGATAAACTATAAGAAGAAAAACGACAATAACTTATAAATTATAATGACGAAGAAAGTAAGAATTAACCATACAAATGAAAATCGTAATTTCAAAGATATAGAGACAAAAATAATAATTTTCAACAAACCAGATGGACGGAAAAAATAATTTACTCTAAATACATATATTTAAGAGTTAAATGTAAATTTGGTCCATACGGACTAGAGAAGGCCAAAATCCGGTCCCGGGTTGGTCCTTAACCGGTCCCTACCGGTCCTAATCAAGACGAAAATCGGCGGTAACCGGTCCTGCCATAACCGGTCCCGGTTCCAGTGAAATACCTTGTAACCGGTCAAGCTTACCGGTAACCGGTTAAGGAATGCGGTCCCATAACCGGTCCCATCCGGTCCCGGCCAAATTTTTATTTTTTTTTAAATTTTTGTTTATTAATAAATTTTTAATATGTTTGTAATATGTTATTTTTAATATGTTTTATATAAATACGTTGTATTATAAATACGTTTAAAAATATGTTTTGTTATATATATATATATATATGTATATATATACGTTTAATTTTATAAATACGTTTTGTTATATATATACACGTTGACTTTTGTTGACCGGGCCGGGCCGAGCCGGTCCTATAACCGGTTACGTAATCGGTTCCGGTCTTAACCGGTCTCGGACCTAAAAAACGTTAAAATCCATAACCGGTTCATAACCGGCGGTCCACAACCGGTCCATACCGGTCCCTCTCCGGTCCCAGTTCCGGTCCTTCGACGGTTACGGGCCGGGCCGGGCCCATTTGGCCATCTCTAATACGAACCGTGGTTTGCTAAAGAGGTTCCTAAAATAAAATTTTAACAAAAAGAGTTCCTCTAGTTTTATTTTTGTAATGAATTAGATCCTTTTTGTTAACAGCCATTATGTTTGACAGTTAAGTAGTCTCACTAAGAGGTATTTCGTCTTTTTACTCTTGATTTATCTTTTATTTTTTCTTTTCCTTTTTATCTTTTTTTGTTGGTCTCAGCCGGATCTACAAGAGTTACATGTAATCAATTTGTAGAAAGGGAATGAATACAAATACATAAACTTTCACTTTTAAAAATTATATATTGATAAAGAAAGATCAACACAAATTTTACAAATTGTTTGCAGAAGAGATAAGGTAAAGAACCTATCTAACAATCTAATGCTCACATAATTACAAATAGCAAAGAGAAAATATTTGCTACAAGAACTAAAGATAAGAATGTAAGTGTTCTTCACTTGTTCTAAGTGGTTCTTTCTCTTAAGATGAGAGTAGAGAGAGAAATAACTTATTGGGTAAGTTAGTAGTAGAAGAGATGAACTTATTGGGTAAGTTAGTAGTAGGAGAGATGAACTTCTTGGGTAAGTTAGTAGTAGAAGAGATAATAACTGAGAGGAAAGCACTCAGGTATTTATATCCATTGCATTTAATGCAATTCGAAGGTACAAAGCACGTGTCAAGCTTTTCAAGAAAAGCTTGTCCTTTGCTACAGTAAACAGTCATTTTGGTTGTATATGAGCAATC